TGGTCTGGGGCCAAGGCACCAAAAACTTTTCCGGTGTCCTGCAGTTCTCCTGAAAGATGATAAATTATCCCTCCTCTTCCAGAAGGCAGAAGTGCTGGATGTGCCTGCAGGAGTAAAGTGGGAGTGGAAAAAAACAGGGAAGAGGCAGTTATGTGGCCAAAAGTGTTTGGTGTGGTGGTGAAGATCAGATGTGGCAGGGGATAAGTGGTTTATAAATATATGAAAGCATTAACTGTTAATTGTAGACAGAATCGCCAGGACTGCGTGTTTGGATTTTTTACAAGGGTTAAGAATAACATGAGACAGAGAGGAGCAGCTAATTATATAATGAAGGAAAAAAAAAAGTGTTTTTTGATGTGTTTGTCACCTGGGTGGGAAGAGGTGACTTCCCCAACACTTATTTCCCAGTTTCTCGCTGAAAAATTTCTACAGAACCTGTAAAAAAGGAGCTGGTGTGCATCGAAGTTGGGTGTCTCTGTTTGAAGAGGGTTTTGAAGAGGGTTTTGTTCCACAGTTGTGTCATTTTTGTAGATATGGGTGTGTCATTTGTGTCATAATTGTGGGTAGCACACTCAGACACATTTTTGACAGGTTTATGTGGGAGCTGGCACACAGCAGTGCATATATGGAAAGGCACAGCGCTGGCAGAGTAGTTTGGGAATAACAGCCTTAAAAAGAGAGAATGCTGGTCCCACCGTGGTGTTTTGAGGAGTGATTGGCACAGGAGGAGGAAGGGGAATGCTGCCACACAGTTCCTGCTCACCAGCTCTGTGGGGTGCAGACAAGATCTGAGGCTTTCGAGCAGCACAGCTCCTTTGTGCTGAGCAGAGCCCTTCCACACTGCACTGCACCAGGGTGTTCATCTGCTCAGCAAAGGCATTTATTTCTCTTCTCCCTTCTTTCCAGAAAGAAAACATTACATCCGAGCCAAACCTCACCTGTAAACTCAGCAAGTGGCTTTATTTCCTTTTATTTCCTTTTATTTCTCTGTGTTGGGAGGGTGGTTAAAGGCTCTCTGTGTCTTTAAAAAGCCTAAGGTTTTTTAAAGATTCAAATTAATCAGCTTCAGCAAGGCTGTTTTAAAGCTGCAGCCTTGGATTCCAATTATGATTGCTTACAGTTTTTACTAATTTAAACAGATTTTTGGAAAAGTGCTGCTTCATAAGTAGGAGTTGCCCCAAATTATGTCCATCCTTGGAGATACTCAAAACTTGACTGGACATGGCCCTGAGCAACCTAAACCTGCTGTGAGCAGGAGCTTGGGCCGGATGATTCCTGGATTTCTTTTCCAACCAACGTGATTCTGTGAATCCAAACTAACACCTGAATAATCTCTTACCTGCCTTTGAGGTGCCAGGAGTCACTGAAGATGCTTGAAGGACTTCATTCCTTTGATTTCTCTCTAAGGATCTCCAAGCAAGTTAGTAAGGAATGAAGCTTCTCTCTCCTTCTCCCATCAGTAAAGGACAATTAGAGTCAAGAAAAGACTTGATTATGATCCCAGTGATGAGATGGGATTAATCTGGTGCTGAAGTAAATTTAGGATGCTGGCTTTGTGTCATGGCAGACATTTAACATGGAGTGAATCTGTAGGGCCACCCTGCTGTGTCAACCCTGCATTTCCCCCTCTCTGTGGTCTTGGGCCTGCAACTGGAAAGGGAAATTTTCTTGTCAAGCCTCATTGTCCAAGAAAAATCCTCCAGCTCGTTGTGGAGGTGCAGCCTGTCACAGACGTGCATGATGCAATCAAAATGCAAGTGTGAGCAACACTATCAAACCCGGTGTTTAACAGGCAATTACCCAAATGCTGGTGAATCACAGTCATTAGGGGGTTGTGGGGCTCACCTGGAATCACTGCATAGCCCAGTTAATGCGGAATCCGGGGATATTCTGAGGCAAACAGCTTGGCAGAGGGAGGAGAGGGAAGGTGAGCCTAAACAATCCTTGTTTTCCCAGCTCTTTGGAGGAAAACAAGGAGTCAGGGTACTCTGGGGGGGGGTGAGCAGGAGTGTAACCTGTCACAGAAACAGGTGAGAGGGTGAACGGGGCTGGGTTTGGTAAATGCACAAAACACCTTTTTGTGCAGAGCAGGGTGGTGGGAAAGCCAGAGGATCCAGACACAATTCCAGGAAGCCAGAGGAAGGAGGGGCTGTTACCAGCAGGGATTGTTTCATTTAGCAATTAGTTGTTAAATCTCCTCTAAGGCAAATAAAGCAGAGGATGTGAGCTCCTGGAACTGCTCCCTCCTCCCCTTCCCCACGTACCCCACACCCTTTTCTGCAGATCCTCTGGGATGGGAGGTGTGGTGGTGGGGGGCTTGCTGGTGATGTAGGGCAGGTGCTTGGGGGGGATTCAAGAGTGTGGGGTCTTTTTCATGCTCTGTCTGTGATGTTCTGAGTGACCTCGGGTGAGCTGTTCCCCTGTGGTCTTCTTTTACCTCCCTTTTACCTGGCAGATGCATTTGAAGGATGAACTAAAGGATCTCACATCTTGAGCATCGAGGTTTTTCCTGGAGTGCAGGGAAAAGGAAAGTGCTACAAGTCTCTGAACATGGGAGAAAAATCTCTTAAATTGTTGGTGTGCTGGCAGAGTCTCCCCTCCCTCCCCTTTGCAAGGGAGAACCGTGTGCAGGTGGAACACAGAGGGGTTGGTGACCCAGCTGAGCTGGAAGTGGCTGTTTTGTTGTGTCACCTTTTGGTTTTCACTCGGTGGTGCCTTTGTGAGTGGCTTTGTGGCCAGGTGTTCATTTATTTGCTCTCTTCTCCCTGACCCAGAGTGGCTCCTCACCTGGGCTGAGTGTGCTGGAGGAGGGACTGTGTGTGTGTCCCAACCTTGCCAGTGATTACAGAGGGTGCCAGGAGCAGGATGTGACCTGGGAAACAAATATCTCCTTTTCTGAAGGGAAGCTTTCACTCTGGGAGAGCAGGGGATGTGTTTCTTGCTATCAGATGGTCTTTGGTCTTGTTAGCAGACAGTGAGTCTGTTAACAGTGACACTGAGAGCACTGGGGATGTATCTCCACCACATCCAGTGCCAATAGACTTCTTCACCTCCCAGGAGCTCTCTGGCAGACCAAATGCATCCCCTCTTCCTTGCCACGCTGCCTTGGGTTGGCTCTGGGTTGTGAACCCATCCTTTAGGGCTTCATCCACCCTGATATTCAGGATATCAGCTCCTAACAGACCCTGTGTTCCAAAACAGGACAAAGGCACGTGTCTCCCTCTGCCCTGGCTCCCAAGTTTTTATGGACAAACAGCATCTTCAACACAAAGCTGGCCTCAGACTGAAGCATTTGCTACAACCATTCCTGTTCCTTCCTTGCCTCCTCTCCATTGCTTCTCCTCGCTGAGAATTGAGAGGAGCTGCCTCTTCACTACAAATAACGATTTGTAAAACAGTGATATTCGAAATTAAGTGGCTGCTGCTGTCTTTGATGTTCTTGGCACTGTTGATTGCTACCCAAAGCAAGCTGGGAATTACAGTCTGTCATTCTCTTGCCTCATAGCTCAAGGCTATATTTAGTAGTTCAAGTTGCAACAGATCTGGAAGTTGTTCCCTTCAGCTGCAGCAGAGGCTGGTGCTGTGATGGAGCTCGTTGGTTTGCCAGTGGTGAGTCCAGGAGCTCGTTTTCCATCACGAGGACAAACTGAACCAGTCAGTGCAGTCTTGCAGGGAGCTCCTGCTGGAGTCCCCCAAGCCTTTTAATGCCTGCTTTTTGCCTAAATCCTAGAGCTTGGTGCAGAAATTCTCCCTGTGATTCCTGGGGTGCCATAAGTGTCATTTCCTTATGGGGGAGTGGGGGGGGGGGGAGGAGAAAGACACTGTCATTTAAAACCTACAGCTGTCAAGATAAAATTATTGCAGTGTCTTTCCTTGCTGATTCAGCAGTTGGGGCTCTGCTGAGCGAGTGTTCTCTGCAGGACTCCATGAAAATCAAAAGATTATGTCTGAATTTGAGTCCATCCACTGGGGCTGGAGATCCAGGCAAGTGTTGAAATGCTCTGTCTGCACACAGGGTTTGCAGCTCCAGAATTACAGGTCTGAGAGCTTCATTGAATTGTCAAAGGTTTTGAAAGCCCTGAGTATCTGTTGCTTTCAGTGGAGTTTACTCTTAATTGTCTCCTCAGAGTCCAAGTCCAAGTGACTAAAACCAATAATGGAACCATGTGATCTGATTCCTGCTGCCAAAAGGTGAAGGGAGGACAGATGCTTTAGGAGTTAAATGAATATTTGAACATGTTTTTCTTTCCAATAGTAGGAAAGGGGTGAAGAACTGCCTAATATTGCACTGCCAGGCATTAACAATGCAAATAAGCGTGGAGAAAAAAGGTGGTGTTCACTCCCTCTTAAAATATGTGCAAAAGCAGGTATTAGTGGTGGAGTTATTTATTTGTAATTTTCCAAAAGTGAGATGGAAGGAAACTGTCCATTTGCTCTGCTCTCTTCTCCTTCCTGACCAGTTTTCCCCCCTCCATGTTTCAGTTGCTCTGTGGCCAGTTGTGGTTTTTCTTTACACAGCAACAAGTAAGACAAAAACATAAATAAAGGAAAATGTGGTTGTGGATCCACACATTTTTATGGAGTTTGACTGGACCTGGGGTTGGCTTTTTTCTGTCAAAAGCAGATTGGCCCTGCTTTGCTGTGCAGGGATTTGAGGCCAGAAATCTCTTTCTGCTGTGAATCCACTGTGATCTCTGACACAGAGGCTGCACAGCACGGGGGGATTTTAGTCACCAGCAGACTTTTAAAGACTGTGGAGAAATGGTAGGATCCAAAGTGGAAAAACACTTGAAATTGCTGTTGGGACAACCAGTTTGGGATGGAAAGGTCCTATTCAACCCTGTATTTTTATTTGCTTCCTCTGTTCTAGTAGTTCTTTAACCATAGATACCAACATCTTAACAAAAAATTGTATTTTCCCTGCACTATTTGAGAAAATCACTTCTAATCTCATGTAATTTCAAACTCCTGATTTTTTTCCTATTTTTTTTTTTTTCCAGGGTGGTAAAGGAGGAGATCTCAGACGACAATGCAAAGCTCCCTTGCTTCAATGGAAGAGTGGTGTCCTGGGTATGTTGGCTCACGTGTCTGTAATAAATCTGTGTGGTTTGATACAGTATGTACAGGAGCAGCATAGTTGGTACCTGGATCCTGGTTTTTAGAAGTGTCTCGAGTCTCCAATTATGTGAAAACAAAAGCTTAGTTTTTAATTATATCTATAACATCCTGTCGTTAAGTAATCTATTTTAAAAATGAGAGGGAAGTCCACAAAGTGTGCAGGGCTGAAAAGGGGATTTATACACGAAAACAGTTTTAGTCCTGTCACTAAACAGCCCAAACAACTTACTCAAAACCAGCTGAACGTGATATTCTAGGGGGGTTAAATGTCATTGTACTGCTATTGTGGCAGCGCCTGGAAGGTTTAAATGAGGTTTGAACACTATGTTTGCATTCAGGAAAAAGACACAACAATTTATAGCCTTGGAAAAATAAACAGGGCAGAAGAATTTGGGCTGTAAGGAATTTGCCCAGTTATGGAGGGCGTCAGCGATGCAGATGTTCTGAGCTGCTCTGCGGGTCCCACCTCCCTTATTCTTTCCCTTGCCTGTTTTTAATGTCTTGGTGTCTCCAGTATGCCACGATATTTGTTTGTCAGCTAACTGGAGTGATTAATTACCATCTCCTAAGTGTTCCACAGCTTTTGGTTGCTTCCCATCCACAAGCAGGTGCTGGGCTGGGGGTGAGCAGCAGCTCGGGCTGCACTGGTGCTGCCGTGCTTGGTCCCTTCTCCACGTGCCTCCCTCTTTAAATTTGTAATGTTCTACTTAATAGAGATGCCATAAAAGCCTGTTGGTCCCCAGGTTTGCTCTGTGAAACACAGTAATTTCCACCTTCAGGTGATGTTTGAGGCACAGATAAACACAGGGATAAACAGAGGGATAAATTCGGTGCTCGGCTCTTTCACTGACACGTTCCTCCAGCTGGGGACAGGAGGTTTAACCTTATCAAGGTTTATTAAGTGGTTATGCACCTTCAGGGAGAGCAGTAGTATTTTATATTTTAACACCAGAACAACATTTGGGACATGGTCTGTGGTTTTAATACCCTCTTTCAAGCTGACCTTACAATCCTGGGGACAGGGACACGACAGAGGACGAGAAGAATTGCCTGTTTCCCCAAAACTCAAGTTTGTCTCGAGTATGAGATGTGTTTTTACTAAGAGCTTGGTTTCAACAAGTGATGCAAGAGGGGTTGGAAACATAGTGCCATGGTATGAGAACTCTGCTGAAGTAACTGGAGACACGAGGCAGCCTTTCAGCACTGGAGAAATGTTTGGATATATGTTTGCAGCCTTCCTATTTCTGGTAGGATCAAGGTACACAAGAAAGTAGTAGCAATAAAGTAGGTTTTACAAGAGTTTTTTCCAGCTGCACAGCTGGGGCTGTTGGCATTCTCAGCTGAAATGAGCTGCTCTGTCTCCATCTATTTCTCCAGTCCTGTACTGATTTTTAGGAGTTGTAGATCTTCCTCACACATTTACAGCCTGGACCCTTAAAATATTTTAGTATTTTAGACTGTAGCCTGAAATATTTTAGACTTCAGTCACTGAAGTTAGACAGGAAAAGGGAATTTGCATACAATCCTGCTGGGTAGCTTAAAGTTTCTAAGCCTGGCTTCTTGTAGACAGGATTACATGTCCTTTCAGTCTAAAATCAAATACAGTATTGATTGCACGCTGGTTCCTGCAGCAGAGCGTGTGTGTGCACTCCATTACTGTGGGAGGGAAGTGCAGTGGATCCTTTAAACATCAGTTTGATTGGGAGATTGTTCTCAGGCAAGGACGCCTTGGGGATCAGGAGGCACAGCCCCTGCTGGGGTCTGAGCAGCTGGAAATGCTCCTCTTGGCAGGGCAAGGGCTGGAGGGTGAGCTTAGCATAAAATATTAGCCCTTCTTCCTGCCCTAGTGATTGCTTTGCATTTTGGGGCACTCAGATTCTGGCAGCTGTGGAGTCCCAGCAGGTTCTCAGTGGTGGGCAGGCAGAACCCCTGGCTTTGTCACCTCAGTCCTCCCACACGTGCACAGAGTGTGAAGCACTCGTTAGATTTGGCATTAAATTGAGGTCTGAAAAATTGGGAGAGCGTTCTCCCTTCATTCTGTGCTCTGAAAAGTGACCTGTTTCTCCCTGGGAAATGCATTCAGGAGGAAAAGCTATTTTTTTTTTTTTTAATGTTCTGTGGGACCTCCATACCTGTTTTTTGGCCCAACCTTTTGCCTCAGCAGCAAAGGTTGACTAATAACCAGTGTGACTTCCAGAGCTGTTCCAAGAACTGTATTTCCACCCAGCAGTGGGTGTTAGGCACTGGAATGCCCTGGTTTGGAAATGGGGGAGTGTTTTAAAGCAGAATTATGCTGACCTAAAGCTGTGCTGCTGGGCAGTGCTCAGGGAAGGAAACGAGCACCACAGGGATCTGCCTCGCCAAAAAAGGATGATCCCCATGTGTCCTGCTCCCTGGAGGAGCAAATTGGTTGTCAAAAGAATTAAATCACTGGCATTAGGGAATCAAGTTAATGTTTAGACCAACAAACAAACAAACAGCTCTGGTCTTTGAGACCGATGGTCCATCTGGAGGCAACACAAAGTTCTTAATGAGGTGGTTGGCTGCTGTCCATCCTGGTGTGGGAACTGAGCCCAGGGGGGGTGTTAACCCCTCCAGGCCGTGCCTGAACATCCATCCTGGTGGCCACTGGTGTGGGATGTTCCCTTGGAAGGGCTGGATTTGGTTTGAAGGGCTCGGTGCTGCTGAATCTGCTGAATCTTTCAGGACACGCCTGAGCCCTGGGTGTTGGTGGTGCTGTTTTTGTGCTCAGTCCAAGGATTACTGAGGGCTAGAGCGTGGGGCTCTGGCAGTATGGGAATGGATGGGACAAAAAGGGATTTCATGTGTGATTAACGAGAGCCTCGGGTGCAGTGGGCTGGGGGGATGGCACTGGTGTGGCCGTGGCGTGAGAGCAGCTTCTGTTGGAAAAGCAAATTAATAGCAGCTCTTATCAGGAGAGCAGATTACTCCTGAGAACCCCTTTCCTCCTCCTGAGTGTGCAAAACCTGCTCTGTGTTTGCTCCTCAGTGTCGTTCCCTTCCCTGTTTCTTCCCCTTTCCCCCCGTGCTGCTGAACTGGTAAATATTAATTCAGGGAACAGGCTGATAATCTGGATTGTCTTCTGCATCCCTGACCTGGGTCTCTTCTTCCCAGTCCAGTGGTGTTTGTTTTTATCTGTGTGGTCTGGTTAAAACATTTATCTTTGCATTGTTGATTCAACACACCAGTGATTCATTCTGACTCCCAGACACCATTTGGGCTCTTCTGTGCAGCAAAATGTGACTCAGGTTGTTCCAACAAGGGCCAACATTCTTGGAGTTGGAGCAAAACCAGTCCCCCAACACCAAACTATTCCACATAAATAAGAAATTAACCTCTTTAACCTCTTCCCTCTCCCAACCAAACCCCCAAGGGTATTTTATCTCTGGTTGAGAGCTGAATTCTTTTCCCAGCTCCTTAAATAACATGAAAATATATGGCTTTTCTGTTTTCCAGCTGAAAAAAAGGAGAATATGAAGAACAGTAAGATCAGAACAAGACTATATGTATATGTACACACACAAGTTCAACGTTGTGTTTTAATTCTGGGGCTGTTACTATTTTCGTTTCAGAGAAACATTACGATCCGTGAAATTTTAAGAATTAATGTTAAGAATTTTAAGAATTAACTCGATTCATTGCTATTCCTGTTCCAGTGTAGGTTGCTGGCCAGCCCAGGAACTTTAACCCACGAGGATCAGTCTGAGCCAGCAGCCAGGCCTGTATCAGAGAACGGTGCTATTGCAAAGATCTCAGGGCAAAATTTAGATGTGTGGCTTAAATTGATTATTTCAGAGAATTAGCACCGTGGAGCCTTTTGTGTGCGCTGCAGCAGCGTGGGGTTTGCAGACTCTGCTCTCAGCAGCAAATGACATAATGCTTTATAAACCCATTTAATTCAGCTGAGGCAGACACACGGCTTGGAGGCAGCAGGGAGAGATCCATCCCTTCAAAATGTGGGCTCTTCCCTCCCAGCAACCCGTTTCCAAATTTCTCTGCTTATCCCCCTGATTTGGCTTCGGTTTGGAGCTCTCAGAGATCACACAGGGCGCTTTTTTTGCAGATGATGTTGACAAGGGCTTCTGTTCACTGGCTCAGCAATCAGCTGAAACATCTGTGTCTGACCTGCATTATGAATTGCAAATTACTTTTTCCACACTAACACCCATAAAATTGCCGGGCTTATCTGCCTCTATTTGCTGCTAATTACTGGAGGAGTTTTATGTAAATCTTGCTGTAAGTTAATTGTTCACAGTTTCGAATTCTTTAATATCCTATTCACTGGAACTTACCAGATAATTGCATACAAATCTTTCAGGGATAGCAAAGTTGGTCTTTACCTTTTGGAAAAAAAAAAAACCAAATGTGTTTTGGGCAGGGCTGTTTCCTTCTCTGGTTTTTAACGTGCTGGACCTGAGCTTTCTTTGTCTCCAGCGCTATAAAATGTGTGTCAGCTGGTAGCAGACAGCTTGGGATTCTTTCACAAAACCATCTGTGATAATTGTGGCCCTCACTGTAAATGACTGCAGTGTCCCTGTGTGTGGAGTTCAGACCCACACAACGCATTGAAAATTGGGAAAATTAAACGCACACACGACAGAGCTGAACTGTCTCTGCCCCCACAACCCCCCTCCCGACTGAGCCAGGGGCCACTTTGAAGTTTTACAAGATGAGTGACATTTAGAAATTTGAGATTTTCATCTTTTTTAATAACATTTGAATCCTTCTATTTGTCAGAGGTGGGAACTTTGATCTTGGTGTCATCTGCAGGACTTGATTTCCATAGGGGAAGATGTTCAAGGGAGGATCTGCAAGTCTTTAGCTGTTGCTTACTTTTGCTGCCCTGAGAACTCAATGTACAGCTAAATTAGGTTTGAATTAGAATCACTGCTGCTAATTAGCTATTTAAACTTCCTCCCCATCCCTCCTGT